ATAGACATGATTCATTAATTAAAAAGCATTACTAAATTAAACTGTATTTGTAGAAACTATATATACACATATGTATGTATGTATTTTTATTTTACATAGTGAGGGTAGAACTAGCAAAAGGGGAACATATTAAGGGTAAATTTGGTAAGAAAATATAATTGCACAACATAAAGATCACCAAAGAAAAGAATTTACAGGGCATTTGGTTGGAGGGAATTTAAAATCCCATGTCTCTCCCGGGATTAGGATTTTAGGAAGAAAAAACGTTAGTGATGAGACAAAATTACCCCTCCATTTTTTAACATAAAATTAATACCACAATAACAATGGGCATTTTGAACTTTATACTACTTATTCTGTTTCAATTCCCATGTATACCAAACATTGGAATTAAAATTTCCAGTATTTCTATTCCTGTAAACCAAACACTGGAATTTAAATTCTCACTTTATTCCCAGTAATTCATCTCCCATGAAATTGCAATTCCTTTCCCACGTAATTCCTCCCTCCAACCAAACGCCTTGTTAGGGTCTGTTTGGAAACCTAGAAAATATTTTTTGGGAACTGAATTTCATAAAATAATTCATTTTTAAAAAAATATTGTAATTTTCTAGTATTTAAAAAATTATCTTTTTTTGTTTGACTGAAAGTTAAGAAATTATATTTTTTCTATTTGACTCATTTTCCTGAAAATGAACACATTACTGTTACAACAACAACAAGAATAATATGTGGCGATGGTGGTGGTGTAGTGGTAGTTGTAGTGGTATGGTGTGGTGGTGGTGATGGTGGTGTTGGTGTTGGTGTTGGTGGTGGTGGTGGTGTGGTAGTGGTGGTGGTGGTGGTGATGATGTGGTTGTGTTGTGGTGTGGTGGTGTTGGTGAGGGTGGTGATTGTGGTGGTTTGTTGGTTGTGGTGGTGGTAATAATAATAATCATGAAAGTAACTTAAAAAAGAAAGAGGGTAGAGTGACGGAAAATAATGAATCCGGAAAATGTCTTCCGGCTAAAAAATTATGAACGAATTTTTTACTAAATTGGGTCTTTTTTCCGTTGACCAGAATGAATATTTTTCTTTGACTTCATTTACTTTGAGTACCTAAACACTGAAAAATCTAAAAAATTACTTCTGAAAGTCATTTTCTGGGTTTCTAAACGGATCATTAGTGCTACTTATACTACAACAAATTTTTAATTCCATATAAAAATTAATGTCAAAATAAATTAAAGTTCAAATAAAAAATGTGAAGAGTGAAATTAGAAACCAAAGTATAAAGGAACAACACTAATAACATAAAGAATAAATACTTGATACTTATACATGCAATACAATTTTATTTCCAATTAAAGACTAACCTTATTGACTCTTATTAAATTTTAAATTTAGATAAATTAGATAGATATAGATACCTTCAATAAAAAAAATAAAAAAAAAAATAAAAAAGATAGATAGAGATAATATTATAATGCAATTAGGACATTTAGAGCATGTTTGGTTGAATGAAAATAGTTTTTCAAAGAAAAAGTTTAAGGAAATGAAATTTTTCTCTATTTGGTTGATGAAAAACTTTTTTCACAGGAAAATGTTTTCTTTAGTTTTGAAGAAAATTTTTTTCTTGGAGGTATTTTGTTACTATAGAAGTTGGGAAGAAAGTATCATATAGTTAGACAATTTTACCTTTATTACTTTTATTATCATTATCATTGTGTAAGGATATTTTAGTCTTTATACTTATTATTTCTTATAATTTCAACCCTAATAAAACAACGGAATCAATATTTTTAATAATTTCTTTTATACAAACCAAACAATGGAATCAAGCGTCATGGTAATTTATTTTTTAATTACATTTTCTCTTAAATATTTTTCACAGCCGAATAGGCTGGGCCTTATTTAATTAAGTGTCCTTTTTCCCCAAATGTTTAAAGGACACATAATCTGCAAATAGCTAGGATTCCAAATATTCCTTGATATCTAGTGGTCAATTTTTAATCATGTAAAGTACATTGTTTTAATAAAATAAAATTAATAAAATAAATAAAGTCCCACTCAAAAATGAAAAGGGCATTTATATGCAACAAAAGAAAAAGGTCCAAATCTCCTTTCCCAATTAGAAAAAAGGGCGGTTTTCATGTGTCAACGCAATAGGGATTGATTGGAATTTGTAGTGATCAACAAACAAGTAATGATATAATTTACACTAATTTATTAATTTTTATTTCAACACATCAATCGATCATCATCATACTCTTTAATAAAAGGTAAATGAAAATGATGTTATTTTTTCCCTTTCAAATTTATTTTATTCTCTCTCCGTTCCATTTTATGTGTCTAGTTCGGTTAACGAGACTTAATTAAAGTTATAATTAAATTTTTTCATAATATTAAGTTTAACATTAGTATACAAAATTTATATATTTAGAAATTACACTAAAAGTACTATTAAACACAAAAAAAATAAAAAATAAAAAAAATAAGTAAAAAAATATGAAAAAAAATAAACAAAGAAGAAAGTGTTGGTTTGGACCATTAATAATAAGTAGGACAGATAAAATAAAACAGAGAAGTAATATTTATCTCTACAATAAGAATTTTATTTTTATTAAATATTTATAAATTGCTCAACAACATTCAGAAATTAATATTACCCTAACCTGGTTATATGTAAAATTATGCTCTTTTCTTTTTTGGTTTTGTTTTGTTTTGTTTTGTTTGTTTTTTTTTTTTTTTTTTTTTGAAAAACATTATGCTTAATTAACAATATACCATTTATTTTATTATAAAATAAATAACTACTCCGTATTTCATTATTTATACATATCTAACAAGTAAGGTTGAATACAATTTGGGGGAAATTTCGGACAAAATTAAGTTGGTTGAACCGTTAGTTTGGTAACCACAAGATTCTAAGTTTGATTCCTCGTAGAGCTATCTGTTGACATTATTGGTTTGAGTCGGTCAGTTATGGATAACCTAAATTGGTTTACCTCTTAGTTTTCCTTTACTGGCTAGAGTCACAAAACGAACTTCATCCAATGCACACCTTCAGATAGTGGCTATATGTTTTCCCATAAATCAGATGTTTAATACAATTTGAGATAGATTCAGGTAGCAATATATCTACTTAGGTTCAGATTCAAAGTTTGTTATTACTTATATTGTAATTATTCTATTTTAAGTCATAAGAAAACAAATAATGCATACTTAAATAAAGTCCGACAATAACAATGATTCAGATTATAGTAATAAAATAAGAAATAGATAAGACAGAATTGGAGACTTGGAGTATTCTTCACTGCGGATATTCTAACCAGAACTAAACAATATGTACCCAACAAATTGAATGCACGAGGCATGCCCAACAATGCCATCTATAATAAAAACAAATGTAGATTCATATTAATAAACACAACATATAATAAAACAATATTTATATTATTATTATTCAAAAAAGTTAATTCCAAAAATGATCCCTTGACTATTGTCATTTATCAATTTTTATCTTTCGACTTTCAATTGAACCATAAATGGTCCATTGACTATTGATCTTTACTAATTTTAGTCATCGACTTTCAATTTAATCATAAGTGGTTCTTTGACTAATGATTTTTTTCCAAATTTGGTTATCTAGTTAAATATCATTTTAATAAACATTAAATTTAAGGATAATAATGTAAAAAATTTTATTTTATAACAATTTTAACTAAAACCTTTTACCCAGTTTATATCCAAAATTGACGATCTGAGTTGTAAATCTCACTAATGTGTAATATCCCGTAAACCACACAAAAGAGATAAAAAGCACTAGAAAGACCATGTGTAACGGATTTGACCAAAAATATGTTGGCAAGAATAAAATTTGTAACCTTAAGTATGAAAATTATGATCTCGTTAGTTGACCAACCATTTTGAGGTAATGTTTTTGTAATTTTAACTAATTATGCAATTTGAATTGATGATTAATACTCTTTCTCAAACTAATTAAGAACATTGTTGGAATATTTATTATAAATCATTAAAATTATTATTATTATTATTGTCGTCGTCGTCATCTTCTTCTAAAAGCTTTATATGTGATAATATATGTTATATACTTGACTTTTTTGGGGGTGCTAATAGATTTTTATATTGTATTTGAAGTGTTGTACATTTTATTTTTTGTAGGCAAAGCTATCCCTTATTCCATTAAATAACTTTGTTACCAAAATTGACATCTCGTGAAAAATAGAGGGCTAATAATACTTATGTTAATAATTGAAGGTTCAAAATCTCTATTTATATAAGAACAATACTATAAACTCCTGTATTTTCTTAAAAGAATTTCCTCCTGATGTAACATCATCTTATTGATAGCTAAATTTATTTTTTAATAAGTGATAGGGTAAACCAATTCATTGGTACCCAATGAATGAAAATCACATCATGAGAGAAAGTTGGAAAGAAAAAACTCAAGACGGGATAATATCATTTTTTTTTAATAAATATATTGACAAAAAGAAAAGCACTATTTTTCCTAATTTTATTTTAATATTCATTTTAAGTTATCTAATTATCTAATCTCGACAAATTATTGATAACTCAGTCACCCCAAGTCCCCAATCCTCGTGACTTACATTTAGCAAGAATGTATTTGACTTTATAATGAGATAATTTAATCACATTATTAGTCTCAAATAATATAATTATTAAAATTTCCAAATTTTCTTGAGAAAATCGTAAGCCTCCAATCTCCACCATTCATTCCCCCGACTATGACATAGGATGCTTTGTAGACATCTATTGTCTTTGTCCTAAATGACATCTCCCTTTTTATTAATTAATACTCCGTATATAATATATAATTAGAGTAATAATTATGAGATTAGGTAAATAATAATAATAATAAAATTTCCCTAACTTAACGCCAAGAAAGTGTGACATTATATAGCCATAGTGAGAATTGTGATAATAGCACTATCACCACCTACACCATTCCGGCAGTCTCTCCGATCCGTTCTTTAATGGAAAGTCACCGGAATTTTGCCACAAACACCATCGGATTTTGCTTGCTTCCCTCCGAGCTCATACAGCACATAATTCTCCGGCTAGCCTTGCCGGAGATCATTCGACTGAAAACCGTGAATAAATCCATTTTCTCGACTATCTCCGACGAAGATTTTGTCCGGGATTACAATCTCCTTTCCAGCTCCGCCACGTGGCTGTTCGTCTACCGGAAGCGGTGGAGGCGCGACGCGGTGCTCCACGGCTTCACCGGCGGTTCCGACCGGTGGTTCAAGATTCTGATCGGAGATATGTTGAAGCCGGTGATTCCGCCGGGTGAAGATGTTTATTTTTTGACTGCTTCGGGTAATATTTTCCTGTTTGCTTTGAACACTAGCCAGGAAGTTATTTCCGTTGACATTTTGACCAGGGTAGTTAAAAAGATTCCCCCAAGTCCTCTAGGACCACGTGGCACTTCATCGTGGCGACGATCGGGTATGAAATTACTCTCTTGTCCTCGTGAGACAAAACACTTTCGATTTTTATTTTCTGAAATATGTGAAAACGGTCCTGTTTTATTCGAGTATGATTCCAAAATTGACAAATGGTACTCTTGGGAAGCAGAAGAAGTTATTGGAGATTTACCACATAGTCTCAAAAGAGATAATTATATATTTTTAAGCGCTTCTAATAGTCGTCTTGGAAGCACTATTATCGCAACCGGACCTCAACGTGACAAAACTATGATTTTGCGTCCGAGATATGTCGAAAGGGAGAATGAGGGTGGTCATCTTGTAGTTGGGTTTAGTTGGAGAAACGCAATGAACCGACTACATGTATACGGTGACGCAAATATGCTGATTGTCACATCAGAAAATGCCTGTGCCACTGGTGAATTAGTGAGGATGTTGAAGGGCATAGAGTTGTGGGGGTTGAGCTCAAATGGGAGGAGATGGGAATTGGTTTCAAGGCTACCAAATGGTCTAATTGATAAAATTAGAAAGCCATATGGGGCTATGATGGGATGTATGCAAGAAAGGGATGGCATAATTAGGGCTATCTTGATGTCCAATTTGGAGGGCTCATGGAACATAATTTGGCTAAGTTATGATAAGAGATTGGACCTATGGGAATGGCTTCCTTTGCCTGATTCCCAAATGAAGGGTTCAAATTTAGCTGGAATTACATTTTCTTCTGGACTAACTTTGTCTTAGGAGATTGCATATAACTTGTAACACAAGGCTGTAATTCAAAAATAATAAAAATGTTTAAATTATTAGCTCAACTAGGTGATGAGTGAAAAATCAATAATACTTCATTAGATGTTATTTGCTTAGTTTTATCTCTACTTATTTTCATTTTTGAAACTCCAAATATTGTATCATATGATGTTGTAGCTTTTCTTTTTGTCTCTGACAATAGTAAAAATATCAAAGTTCTATTTGGAAGATCCATTTTTATGATTTCCTTGCATATTTTTAAATTTAAAATACGTGGAAGTTTGACTCTCAATGGAAGCAGTCGGTCTATTAGCCTTCATAGTTTGAAATGGTCAACTATCGACAACCTAGACTAGTTTACTTTCTTATGGTTCGTTCTTTGATAACTAGAGTCACAAGACAGGCTTTATCCAGTGTATATCCTCAGATAGTGAATACTGATTTTTCTCATCATAAGAAAAAAAAACGTATGCTTATATAATGCAAATTACTTATCAATTGATAAGAAGATACATATACACACTATAATACCTAGAAAACTGTTTTTTGTTCTAAAATTATTATTCTTATTATCTCTCTATTTTCTTTTCTTATCTTTTTTTAATGTCCTTTATACTTCACATTAGTCCCATCAATATTTTTCATTTTTATTTTTAATAATTTCATATATTTTTTAATTCAACTTTTTTGATATAGCAAAACTTTATATATATATATATATATATATATATATATATATATATATATATATATATATATATATATATATATATATAAATTTTATGTAATAAAACTAAATTTAAATACTTAATTTGCATTAAGCTAAGTCTAATTATTTATCTTAATTATTTTGAGACGAAATCATCATATTAATTATTAAAGTTATCATGTCACATCATTTGCGACATGATTATTTCAAAAATGTTAGAGTGGGCAACATGCTTAATTATTTAATGCTTTTTATTTCATATAAAATAATGGGTAAAAATAGGTGACATTAGTGATTTGTACGCTTTCACTTTCAACTTTGGTAGGAAGTACTTTATGCATATCTCCAAAGGAAGGTGGAAGATGAATCAGTGAGCCAAGGACATGGATCAGCATTTCACTTACTCCAAATTAAAGGCATATAGTGACAATGTGATTACACAGTCAGAGGCCCACAATGTACACAATTACTCATTATTCTAGGTCTTCCTATGGTTTGGGACATTGGGCTTATGTTTGCAAATTAACCCAAAGAAAAAGGACAGAATTTTAAGGCAATTTATATCGCGGACCAGGGTCCACATAACATTGTGAACTTTAGATCAAAATGATACCATTTTGATATTTAACCTTTAACAGATTATGTAGTTTTTCGTTTATCATGTTTCAACACAAATTTTAATCTATTCTAGGTATAGAATTAATAGTTTTAAAGTGCAGAATTTCATATCACTAGATACAAAAACTCACAACACAAGACACATACACATGTTCTATACTTATCTCAAATCTAATTTATGTAGATAATATATGTCCTATAGGCGGAGCTTTATGCTGTGCAACTGTGTGCACCATGCATTGTGCACAAGGTTACAAAAACGACCCGTCGGTTTGACGTTCGACTTAAAAAAAAAATAAATTTAGAATTGCATAACTACATCCATAACTTCATAACTTTACATCCAGAATTGCATAACTACACATCCATACTTTCATAACTATAAATCCAGAATTGCATAACTACACATTCATAACTTCATAACTATACATCCAAAATTGCATAACTACACATCCATAACTTCATAACTATAAATCCAAAATTGCATAACTACACATACATAACTTCATAACTATACATTCAGAATTGCATAACTACAAATCCATAACTTAATAACTATAAATCCAGAATTGCATAACTACACATCCATAACTTCATAACTATACATTCAGAATTGCATGCATAACTATACATCCATAACTTCATAACTATACATTCAGAATTGCATAACTAAACATCCATAACTTCATAACTATACATTCTGAATGTGAAATTTTGACTTCATAACTATACATTCAGAATTGCATGCATAATTACACATCCATAACTTTATAACTATAAATCCAGAATTACATAACTAAACATCCATAATTTCATAACTATAAATTCAGAATGTGAAATTATAAAATTATGAACATATGTTTACGTAACTAATGGTAATCGAAAATGGTTTTATTTTTATTTAAGTAAAACGACGCCGTTTTTGCATCCGTGTGCACCATGCATGGTACACGCGGATGCACAACATAATTTGCCCCTATAGGCACATATCTATCTATCTACAAATTTAATAAGAGCCAATAATGTTAGGCCCTTAACTGGAACAATAAAATGTCGGTACTAATTGTTTCTTAAAGTGAATGGTTCATATTATTTTGATTTTAGTATTTTTTTTAATGATTTTCCTTATTTACCCTTTATTATATTATTTTCTTCCCTTAAATAACCCTAAATTCCGTTAGTATAAACTTTAGTAACGGAATATTCCGTTAACTATTTATTATTTTTAACTTACTCAGTAATTTATATACGAAAGGTCTTAGGTTCGAACCCCATCCCATTAAAGTAAGCATAATTGTTACACATATATTATGAATGAATATGTTAAAATGTATTAAAAATATATAAAAGTTTAACATAAACTTTGATCAAATAATTAGTCCGACTAAATACATAGTATTCAAAGTTGAGCGTCAAAGATTATAAATCAAGAACTTTAAAAATCATTTGATTTTCTTGAATTTTTAAAAAAAAAAAAAAACAAATTTAGGTTTTTTTTAAAATTTTTTTTTTTTATAAGTAATCTTCGTTAGATTATTTCGAACAAAACTTAATATTTCAATTATGTTTTTGCATTATTGGAATGATTTAGGTCATTATGGTATTAATATTTTATATATATATTTTTATAATGGTACAATTGTACATTACTTTACAAATATTATACTATTATTTTTTTATCGGACAAAATTGTTCTTACATCATTGTCAGACCTGCGCGGCCTAACTACAAAGTTGTTGATAATAAATACAATTACACATGGATTTTAAAACAGTAGGACCATTTTCAAATAATTGACAATGTTAACATCCTACTAGCTCCAATTGAACAAGTTTACACATCAGAATTTTATCAATGCATGAAAACTTCTAAAGAAATTTGTAAGTTAATTTTTACTATATAATTATAACAATATATATTGTAACCATATAATTTGAATTATTTATTATCATCCTCTATTGATAGCAATTGTCATTAACAAACTCTCAAAACAATTTGTCTCAACAAGGAATGGAAATTTTTTTTAAAAAAAATCATTGATTTTATTGTTGTTGATGAAAAGTATGTACGACACTTTATTACTCTTATTAAATTACTAGTTTTTTACACGCACATTGCGCGATTGGGATAATGCCCAATGTTTTTTTTTAATAAATACTTAAAGTATATCAAGACAAGATTATATTGAAATTGTGCATGCATAGATAATTGAATGTTAAATTTGCGTATTTAAATAGACAATTCTAAGTTTACAAATGCAAGATAATATAGTCAAGATTGATTATAATTGTCAATAAAATAATTGTATAGGTATGGTTGAAACTAAATACAGGACATAAGGGAGAGCAAATAAAAATTAGGGCATAAAATATTAAATATATACTAATATTGAAGAGCTAACTACGGATTGCCAAACAAGGACATTGCGAGATAGTTTCCCACTTCAATTTGTTGTGTGATTTGAATACTCTTTTTGTCCATTAATCTCCAAGTAGTTAATATGATTGGCTTAATTATATTTTTTTAAAACAATTATTATCATTATTATTATTATTATTATTATTATTATTATTATTATTATTATTATTATTATTATTATTATTATTATTATTATTATTAAATATATGTATACCCTTAGGTCATTTTACATGTTAATCTAAACAGTTAATTTGTTCAAATATCTTTTTACCAACCGTTGATATAATTCGCTGGTCAAATTCGCTAATATAATCTACTAACGCTAACCGCTAACTGCTGATTGTCAAACAATGATATCGGGAGGTAGTTCTCACTTCAATTTGTTGTGTGATTTGAATACTCTCTTTGTCAACAAATTCCTCAAGTAGTTAATATGATTGGCTTTATTAATTATATTTTTTTTAATTTTTTTATGGTATTAATAAAATACTTTGTAAATAAATATATTGCATTATTTTGTATTATAACTTTGATTTTTAATTAAAAAATAGTGCACAAAAAAGATAATAGACAATGTATTGAATATAATCAATTGATGAATTTGAATGTAAAGAATTTTTACATTGGAGAAATATAAAGACAATATAACTAATAAAATTATTTATCTTAATTAATTTATTGATAATGAATAATTTTTTTTAATAAAGACATTGTAGGGACAATGTAGCGAATAATCAATTGATGAATTTGAATGTAAAGAATTTTTATATTGCAGAAAAATAAATACAATATAACTAATGAAATTATTTCTCTTATTTAATCTATTGATAATGAATATTTTTTTTTTTTTTTGGAATAAAGACATTGTAGACACATAAATATAAATTAAAGAAATGCATATGTATTATTTTTTGTTGGAGCTACTAAATTATTATTCAATTTAATAAGAGTAAAATAGAGTACTAATTATGCCAACTTTGATTGGGATGGTTCGAACCTAATACCTTTCTTATTGAAATCAATGAGTAAGTTAAAGGTGAACTAACAGAAATTAACGAAAAAGATAATATTTAACGGAAATGTTAACGGATAATCATATTCATTAAGGATAAATTAAGTAATATTAAGGAAAAATTAAAATCTGATCAATCTGAGCCATTTATTTGATTAAAAAATTTGACCGCCATTTTTTCTACCCATTATAGGCCTAGCTCTCTTGGGCTCTTATTAGTATAGTAGATATAAATAA